AAGCTGAACAGCCAGTAACTAGGCTGTGGAGGGATAGGCAGGGCAGGCAGGCAGGCAGGCAGGCAGATAAAATAAGTAGTAGTAGGAATCTAGGCTCAGGAGAGAGAAAAGAGGGAGAAAGAGAGGGAAACTCCCTGGACCAGCCAGCCAGGCAGATATGCAGGAAGCAGGAATGTAGGATATACAGAACGAAAGAAAGGTAAAAAGCTCTGAGGCAAAATGTAGATGAAGAAAAACAAGTTAATTACAAGTTATAAGACAAGCCTAATCTAAGGCTGAGCATTTATAACTAATAACAAGTCTCCATGTCTTGATTTGGGGGCTGGTGGTCCAAGAAAGCCTGGTACACTAATGTATATATCTGACATGAGAATATTAATTAGTAAAACATATAATTGTAAAAAAGTTAAAATGCAAATTTTAAATTGAGATTTTAAAATATAGGTTTACCTGTAGTATAACAAAGAAGATGAAATCACATATAAATATTTAATTATAGATAGTGGAATTTGTAATGCCACGAATCTTTCTAAGAACATCACAAAACCGGGGTGCTTGTATGATTATATAAGGGGATCTGCAGCTCACATTTCAATTTGTGTAATCCGTTAGGACTGTCTTTCAGCAAATTAAATAGAGCTGAGATCTTGTGCAAAGAATAATTTGTAATTCATGAGTGGATCTGCACAAGGAAGATCAGCTCAGAGAACTCTATACAGCCAAAGGGGAAGGTGATGTTTTCAAGTAGGCAATGGAAATGGTGTAAAGGAGGAATTTGATTAGTTACTGCTCTACATTCCCCTTACTTGTGGAATGGTTTGTCTTATGGGTGCATTTGATCCATTAGTATACTATAATTAGCTGAGCTCAATTTCTGAGATTGGCTGAGACTCTGCTGCTTTTTATAAGTATAAATTCTTAGTTTCAGTTTGGTTTTGCACCATTTCTTTACAGTTTTTTTTCTTTCTTTTTTTTTTTTTAATGAAAGCATTCAAAGTGAAGAGGTATTTTAGAGTCACATATAATTTAAAAGACCTAAGGAGAGATGGTTATTTCTGGAGAAAGAGAGGAACACTTCTGTTTACAATGGGTTGAAGGTGTTCATTGCAAATAAGGCCTGTTTGCTGCGTGCTGGCTAAGTAGTCCGTGCTGAATGGATGGCCCGCAGGTTCCTAGTATCATGGCAGGCTTAGCACATGTGACTCATACTGGCTGGGATGACTGGGCTCAGATTTTCTAACCCTTCAGTGTTGCTTCACATTGGGGAAGGTGAGAAAGAATTCTACTCTACTGCCCTTAGGTACATGACATTTCACATGCTCTTTTGCCCAAATCTAATTCCATCAGATATTGAGTCCCTGCTTCTCAGAGTGTCCCAAGTGTAAAGTTTCAAGCAGTGGGAAATGGAAAGCAGAATCCCAAGCAAAAACACAGTATCTCTGCGAGCAGAAGGAATATGCAATGCGCTTTATGAGCTTATTAATTTTTTCTGGTAAACTTAATATTATGTCATAGTTAAGAATGTGCCTGCTTTAGATATTCCCAGACATGATAGGAGGGGCAGGGACAGAAAGTAATTGCTTTAGGGAAGTTAATAGAATATCTTACAGATACAGAAGCTATGATTTGCTCCTACATTTGTCACTGTCAGAGTAGGCATAATTTCTGCATTCACTACCAACGCGGGGAACTTCCTTACCCCTCAGACATCCTCTTTCCTGTCACTAGAGTTTTCTGTTTCCTACTCCTCAGGATATCACAGTCATTTAACTTCCAGCCCATTCGCCAAACTAATCACTGTTATATTTATGGATGTCCTCACTCACAGACTGTGTCAGGATTTGGGGTGATTTCTCATTAGGTCTGAGTACATAAAGCACAGCAGGAGAACAATTCCAAAGCATCTGAACTACTAAAGATGCTTTTAAACAGGTATAAATCGGAACGGGCAGCTATCTCCATGCGTGTATGAAAGTAAATCAATAAGCCGTGGATTTGATTCAGATAAATCTTAAGATAGATAAAGACACATTCGGGAATCTATTATTTATTTTCTCTAAGGCCATGTTGAGAGAAAAATATAAAAGAAAGAGGGAAACATGAGGAAGGACAGAAAAAAGGAGGGAAGGAAGGAAGAAAAAATCTAATCAAGAGTTGTGTCAATTAAAAGAATAGTTTTTAAAGGACTGTGAAATAACTTAGAAGTTTGAAAATAATAAAGACAGGTTTTCTTCTTCTTTTTTTCTGGACTACTCTGCAGGCACAAGGATGGCATAGTTAGCCAGAAGATTTGCCCTATCTATCCTTCATTTCCTTCCCTAAATGTTATAAGTAAAGGCGTGTTCTTATTGGTCCCCTGACTTCTCAAGCATTCAAGGCCTTAATGAACTTCAGTTTCATTCACTCCCTGAACAAAGCTGTTGCAGAGCCAATGAAGACAACAGAAGGCAATCTGCCTTGTTGAACAGATGCTAACCCCTTATGGAGTCTGGTGAATCTCTAGGTGGCTCTACCATCTGCGTTTGAAAAGGCAAAGAGAGCTTCTGACCCTGACCCTCTTCAAATAAAACCATGGTGGTGGTTTTCTCTTTTATTAGTCTTTCTAGTGATTACTATCTGTTACAGTGTTCCATAGGCACAAACAACAAATTTGTTTTTCAGTGTTTTCTATTAGGAGCAAGCTCACAAAGTCATTTTGTTTGGAAAGTGATAGCTGCAAGACTAAAAAGCATTGCTTTTAGATTTCAATGCTACTCTATTAAACAGCCATTGTTGAATGCCTATTCAACACCAGGGTCAGTGCTAAGAGCTGAAACAAGCATACAAGAAAGTAAGAGGCATTTCTGAATTTTAGAAATAAGTTGCAAATTTTAAAGATAAGGTGTAAGTGTGCTGAAGATTAAATAACAGAAAGATTAAAAAATAGTTCTTATGCAATGATATTATGACCATTTTATCTTCAGTTAATTGTCCTGAGACAATTTGTGTGCCTGGCTATTTTTTCGAGGTAATATTTGTAATAGCTAGCATCTATTAAATACAATTTGCCATAAGCTCTTTTTTGTATCTTACAATGCTTACAACAGCTTCGTCATAGAGATATTGTTTTGAATTTTCTAAAGATGAAAAGACAGAAGACTTTTGAGACTTAAAAGCTTCATTAAGCTTACATAAATAGTAAGGACAGAGGCTCTATTTCAAGGCCAAATTCTCTGTTAGGCCAGCCCATATCTCTTGCCATTATACTTTCCCATTGTAGCTACTTAAATTAACTACAGTATATTTATACTTATATTATAGCCCATATATCCCAAAATTGTATTTATTTTCATAACAAAGTTTTGGAGCAATGAAAGTCTTATGTTACTGAGATTCTTTCTAGTGACTTAAAGCCAGAAACAATGAAGAACTGATATGATTATATGGCCCTATGAGATAGGTTAACATGTAATTTTCACCTCTAGATATCTATCTCTATGATCCAGATAGGCCAATTAAGCATTGGAAAATATTCTTGTCATTGAACTGTTTCCTGAGATTTTGTTTGCACTTATCATATATATCTTAACTTGTGATCTGAATCTTTTCTTTTGAGATATTTCAGATTGTTTATCCACAGAAACAGTTTAAAAATATGTGGGAAAAAAGTGTTGTAAACAGTGGAAAACATAACAGCATTAAATCATGGTATTGTGTATTGTTTTTAGATTTAGAGCATTTATTTCATAATTTTGAAAGGATCAATTATTTTTATTAAGCCCTCAAGAAAGGTAACTATTTTAAGAGATCTTTATTTGAGAGATTTGTGAGCATTTGTTTCTTGTTATTGACCATATTGTCTGGGTAAGTGAAAAGTCCTTACTATTTATACACTATTTGCAACTCCCAATATGTGGTTCAAAGGCTGTAACAAATTACACATCTTTGTCAATTAATAGCTAGAAATGTTCTCCCTCCAATAAGCACTGCATAATTGTTCATAGCATTACTTCATGATCGTATTACTTTTTCACGCTGCATTTGCTTCATCTCCAGTCTCCCCGATAGTAATGTACACCCCCTTGCTGATATCAACAAGGCGTATGAGGTTTTTGATGAGAAGAGTCCCTCCTAAATGGGACTGGAGGAATGCTAGGAAGAATGATGACAGAATGATACATTCTAGATAAAAGATTGTTCACATAGCGAAGTCTCCAAATTCTCTGTAGTGCTCATTGTGATATAGAGAGCACTTAACAATGATCCGATATCAGTTAAAATACACTTTTTAATAATTAATGGGGTAATATTCTTTTTAGACCATGTGATGTTAATTCACACTTTTACCTATCTTTAAAAAAACTTGAAGATAGCAATTCAGTCAGTGCAAGAGGGATTGATGATGGATTATAGAGTTCTAGGGCTACACTCTGTGGGGAAGGGATGATTACAACTGTGTTGTGCTAACCATGGGTCTTACCATGGCAGTCCACCGTTCTTTCTTTATTCTTATGTTCTTACTCCAAGGACCTTGTTCTCAGGAATAGCTACAGTTCCAATGTGATTAATGGGGTACTACACATCCATATAGCCAATGTCTTCAATGAATAAAGATTGGTTCTACTTTGGTAGGCTTGCCAATTTGCATTCTCATCTGTAGATTGACTGAGGGTTCTATGTCACGTCATTGTAGTCTCTCAATAATACCCATATTTCCTTTAACTATATTCATATCTCACGTATGAGGAATGTCTCATGAAACAGAATCCATTATTCTATTATAAGATCATTCATGACTTTTAAATAAAAATAAGACTTGTATTCAGATGAAATTCTAACACTTTGTGATCCTCTATTATTAAGCTAATGAGTATCAATATCATGTGGAAATTAGTATATTAAATTAAGACCTGAAAATTAGAGTTAAATAACTCATTTTTATTTAAATGGTTATATGCACAACCTGTCGAGTTAATTTCATTTTTTTATAAACATAGACAATTGTTTGTGTTTTTTTTCAGTCTATCCGAGAAGTCACGGGCTATGTACTGGTGGCCCTCAACCAGTTTCGTTACCTTCCTCTGGAGAATTTACGAATTATTCGTGGAACAAAACTATACGAAGATCGCTATGCGTTAGCGATATTCCTAAACTACAGAAAAGATGGCAACTTTGGACTTCAGGAACTTGGATTGAAGAACCTGACCGGTAAGAAAAATTCGAAAACTAGTGCATAATATGATGTAATGTCTATATGTGCAAATGCGTGGTTTCTAGTGTTCAGGTATGGAAGTGCCTGGGGCACGTAAGTGAGTGGTATGTACTCATTTCATGAGAAATGATGCCTCTGCGATGCTCTCACTTTTATTGACAGATGTTGTAAGTGTTGTGTAAAAGATAGCAGGATATTGTATCTCAGCTGAACAGAAGTACGCTCTCAGGAAATGCTCAGTAACTGCAAACGGAGATAGGAAGCAGGTGTAATACAGTTTGGCGGTCGCAGGTGAATGGTGGACCAGATCAAACCTCTGTGATAATACCATGGTGCTCATGCCTGCCAGAGCTTAGTAATGCCCAAGCGATTACATCTAGTTTGACTAATCTTTAGATATTTACAGGATCACCCGAGTTTAGGGGGGAATGTCTAATTTATTCAGTTTCAAATTCTCCCATTTAGTAGCTCAGCGAACAAGATCACCAATTCTCAGCCTGTTTTGGTGCGGTCGGTGATAGTTTCTCAGCATTGCAGATACATGAAACTAACAAACGAGTTTTATCTTCTAGATAAGAAACTTTGCAGCGATTTTCTTTCTAGTTCATGTTACTTAAAGTTCATATAAACTCTGATGGAATACTTTATTATATAATTATGATTTTTTACCAAATATATCTACAGTTAAAATGTGCCAATAAAATATTCAAACCTACCAGTAGCTCACATTATTAATTTACTTGAAATTACTAGCATATATACATGTACTATATCAAATATATAGTGATTTATGTTTATGATTATGTTCATTTGGGGTTCACTCAGTGAAGTTTATGCACCCTGAAAAATTAAATGTTTTAATGGACTTTGGCATAAATGTAAATAACATTGTTAATTTATTGAGATAGTTTTTTTTAAATATACACAGTATATGGTGTAGTATAGGCTTAAAGATGGAAATTTTAATTTCATAATCATCCAGACATGTATGATAAAATTGGGAAATTTGAAGCACAGAAGGAATAATGATAATGTCAGTTATTAGGACATGGTTGCTGTAGAGGTGATGAAATTATAGTAAATACTGAGTGTTGGAAATGTATTGTTTCCTATACCAACATTGTTACTTCAGTTATTTCTAGGATAATTTTTCTACTGAAGAATGGCTTTTTTGACAAAATTTCTCCTTGCATACAAGTAATGACTGGAGAAGGAATTTTGAAAATAAGATGGTCAGGGGGAAAACGCTGAATAGCTAGAATTAGAGATCTAAAAATTAGATAATACAACTAAAACTTCCAAACTTACACAAGAAGCATTGTGTGTCTTTCATGAATTTACTTTGATAATATTAAAGAATAAAAGGAATAAATTCCTTTTCAGGAATTTTTATAATATTAGAATCCTTTTATTATTATATACAATGAGCTAGGTGAATTTTTCTCTATATAAAAACAGTCATAAACTATTTCTTATATTCATTTCTGTTAACATCACTACTTCTAAAATAATAACCAAATGTTTTTGAAAAAATTATGTCACATTTAAATACCATTTAGCCACTAGATTCATTGCATATATTAATTATGATTATGGCAGTTGATTGATTTTTATTCTTGTTGCACTAAAATATAACATGTCATTCAGAAGTAATCTCTAACCTGGATAGTGCTGTGCTATTTCTGGACATTTGTAGAAATGGATAATTTATTAAGGTTAAGTGTTGGTTCCTTAGAAAATCTGTATTCATTTAAAAGTTAGTATTGCTTTCTTTTTAACATGTGACTCAAAAAACCATGTAATAAAATGTATGGTGGAAATTCTGGGCATTATGGACATTTTTTAGATATTTGATTTATTCCATCGGTTGACAATCATGTCAAAATACTTCTGTGTGCATCTAGAATGGCTGAACCTTAGGTTTCAGGGTTGATATGATGACTGCAATTCTGACAATTTTGAATTGCACAGTAAACACTATTACAATTATGTGTGACAATGTATGAGGAAGACCTGGAGACAGCTAATTATGCCTATGAAGAAGAGTTTTGGGAAATTTTGTTCTATTTTTGGAGAGCTAAATAATCTAGGTGATCTGGTTAAAATAAGGAGTAAATATTGCAATTCCATCTAGGTAAGATTGGGTTTATGCTTTGGAAAGAAATTTCTTTTGTGTTGTAATTTTATTGTTCTACAAAAGAAGTTGATAATTTTACAAATTATATTACACACAAGGCTATGAGCTTTGTTCTAAATATAGTCTAATAAAAATAAATATAGTCATATAAAAAACCTAGATGTGCTATGTGGGGACCTGCCCCACCGGAAACTCAGGTCACCTGTGAAGAGCTGGCCTGGAACCAAGGAAAGGCAAGGGCGCGCTGCTGCTCACTGGTTTCCCAGCCTCCCTCTTACCTGGAGACATCAGACGCAGCAGGGAATCAAGTCAAGCAAGAACTCCTTTATTGATAGGCAGTAAGTTTCTTTTGTATCAGAAAACCTCCAAACCCTAGGAGGGGGGTGAAGGAACAAACCAATCATTTTAAAGGGCACCCTATTTACAAGTTGTTTATGTCCTGACACTATCTCTTGTTTTTTAGTATCTTGTAGCATAAATAACTTGAGCTAACTTTCTTTCTCACTATTTGTATCCACTCTCTGCGTAAACACCTTAAAGCTTAAGGTCTATTTATCTGAATTTCTCTCAGCACCCTCTTTACAGCCCATGTATGCCCCACAGTGCTAGCCAATCATGGTGTATTTGACTTCTTAACAATGAATTAACTGCAAATCATAGGCTGCACCTGAGATGTGCTGCATGGCAGCTCAGGGCGTGGGTTAGTAACATGTGTTTAAAGATCTTCACATGATTCTGATTATGGAGGCTCTGCGTTCACTTTTCCAGATGAATTACAGTACTGTTACCAAAGAGCAATAGCACAATATGTAGTTAACCTTTTCACACTTCTTTGGCAAAAGTAGTTTTCATTCATCTATCACATGATGGAAAGAAGAGGAGTGAGACAGAAACAGGCATTCTTTTCATTGCACACCATCAATTATACTCTAGGTTGGGTTCAGAGTGTAAAAAGCACAGTGGGAGCCTAGATAGAAATGTGGATAAAATATGAGAGAGCTGGGGATGTATCCCAGTTGGTAGAATGACTGCCTTTATGTGTGTAAAAAAGCCCTGGGTTTGGTCCCCAGCTCTTTATAAAGCTAGGTATATTGACATACTCCCCTAAGGCAATACCCAGGAGACTATCGAAGAATATCATAAGTTCAATTTTATTCTAAAGTATATAGCAAGTTAGTATCCAACTGGGATACCAGAGACCATGTCTGTAAAAAACTAGTTTTAGAGAAAAGAAGATGCTACGAAAAATATTCCATGTCACTTTGTTTAGTAACAACTTATTGCATGGTAAAAAGATTATAATAATTCATACTGAATTTTCTTAACCACCACTTTTTTAAAGCACTTGTAACAACAAAAAATATATATAGTGGTTTGCAGGTTGAAAAGTAGTTGCTTGGCATATCAAAGAATTTTGGGGGGCTGGAGAGATGGCTCAGAGGTTAAGAGCACTGACTGTTCTTCCAGAGGTCCTGAGTTCATGAGTTCAATTCCCAGCAACCACATGATGGCTCACAACCATCTGTAATGAGATCTAGTGCCCTCTTCTGGCTTGCAGGAATATATGCGAACAGAACACTGTAAACAAAATAAATAAATATTAAAAAAAAAAAAAGAATTTTGGAATAAAGACTTTAAGTCTTGGCATTAGGAAGATGGCTAAGTTTGTAAGCTGCTTGCTGGATGAGGTCCTGATATTAGTCTCCAGAATCTATGTAAAATTCAGGAATGGTGACACATGCTTATCATCTCCATGTTGGGAGGCAGAGAGACAAGTAGATCCCTGGGATTCATTGGCTTGATAGGCTAGATGAATTGGATAGCCCGAAAACTATGAGAGACACTGTCTCAAAAGTAAAGATAGGGACCTTCTGAGGAATGACTCCCAAGACGGGCTTCTTAATCTCCATACACTATACTGACATGTCCATGTACATACATACCCAGAAACATGGACACATGAATTTTTATAGTATGTATGTCTTATCAAACAATTTTTCATTCTATTGACATTAGAAAAGAAATGTCTCAAACAGTTTTCATCTGCTGATATTAGAAGGGAACGCTTTGAGAATAGCACGTTTCTCCCAGTAAATTCTCATATTGTATAAAGTGGATGTTCAGATATATGGACATTATCATTACATGAGTTAGTGATTAGTTGCTGTTTGAGTGTGTCTACATCAACTACTTTCTTAAGCACGTTTGTTAAACTTGATGTTCACCAAAAGCTGCCCCATGGGTATGATATATTGTTGATGTGTAGAAAAAGAATCTCAATGAGGAATTCTCTGACTTGGTTAGCCGGTAGGAAGGAGTGTGATAATTTTTCTTAGGTGTGTTAATTTAAATGGGAAGAGCCACTCACTGGTGGATGTGGGCAGCACCATTGCCTGGGATGAGCCCTGGACTGAATACAGATTGATACAGCATGCGGACACGAACACGCGGACATTAGTTCAGTGCTCTCTGAACTTGAATTTGCATTTAGTGTGGCCAGTTATCTCGAGCTCCTGCTTCTGTGATTTCCCTAGTACGGTGGATTATAGACTGAAGTTTTGAGCTCAAATAAACCCTTCCCCCACTCCAAGTTGCTTTCCTAAGGGTATTCAAAACAGCATCAGGAAATAAAACAAAGCCAGCAGGCTGAAAACTTTATTACCTACCCTACTTGGACATGGTCAGTTTGGTTTTGTCAAAAAAAAAAAAAAATGAAATATACCTCAACTGTTGCTCCCACCAGGGTTAAACAGAAAAATGTGTTTAGCTGTTGCCAATCACATCTCTGTGGTTGATTATTATTGAGATAACTAGAGTGGAGAAAGCAGGGGTGTTCTAGGGAAAGAATGGACCAGGCAA